TTAGGAAATGTTATGTTTTATTTATATACCACTTCTATTTTTAAGTTATCATAATTACCTCATACTATGACTAAATATGCAAATATCTGCATTATGCTAGCTGCAACACCTCATTAATACAAACAAGTAGCAAAAGGTGTGTTTTCTGATGATTTATCTTGAATTAACATAGTTAAAAGAAAGAAAGAACACTTTACCTTTGCCTGGCATTTCCACACTTGGAAGTGAATTCTGTAAAGACAAAAACACAAGGGGAAATGTAATCATTTACTTCAGAAAAGACCAAAAGGTAGTTCTAACAATGTTATGAACAGTACTGAGGGAAAAGAAGGCTGGTTTTGTCAGGAAGGGGGATGTATCCCAATGTGGTGATAAGAGAGAGCACAACTGGGATCCTTCTGGCAACTCCTTTCCGCTCCTTTCACCATTGCAGACAACTCACTTAGGACCACGCTATGGACAGTATTCAGGCATGCTCAGATACAAAGAGGCACTTATCTGCGCTGGAGGTGCGCACACATTTTCTCTCTCTGCGTCAGTACGAGAGAGATAAGAACACCCTCCTGCTGCCTGTGCATATCTTGTCTCTTCACACCTGAGCTCCACATCCAGCGCCTTGGCATCCTCTCAACACGGAGGAGCACCAAGTCCCCACGCTGGTGGCCTACATTTCACCTGCATCCCTGCTCCAAAGCTGCGGAAAGAGCTGCCTACTTGGAAGGTTTCTGAACAGGCAGCTCCCTAGAGCTGGCCAGCAGGAAATAGGAGGTGCAGGAGCCATTTAGGCTACCTGAGCTTGGCTCCGAACACTCAGCACTGAGGCTGCCAGCTTTCATTTAGACATCTGATTCAGTGGATTTTCCCCTCACACAGGAACTGCTGGGTGCTTATGACCTCTGAAACATCACGCCAGTTATTTAGCCCAGGCCAATCAGATCATCCAAAAAAAAATTATATATATATATATATAACTGCTCACCTAAATTCCTGATTATGTTAAGTGCCACACTTAATCGAACCAGATGCCATGGAAGTCAGCCAGTGAGATATAGCTCTTAACCATACACAATAACAAGCCAAGTTGGTATTTCTGGATGCACATTGCTTCTATCCTCTTTGAACCCACGTGCTCAAAGGGTGTGCTATCCTTCAGCATCCTGGATCCATTTGGAGCCCTTGGAGCAGCATGTCTCCTTAAAAACTGCAACTCACTCCCAGGTGACACAAGTATGGTGCTAGATACATGTCCTCCCATAAAGACCCAGCTTGGCTTTGCCAAAGTTTGCCTGGTAAATATGAAGGAAAGTCAAATGCTTACTTGAGGGGAGAAAGAAAAGCTCCAGGCTGAGAAATACGTTTTCACAATCTTTTTATGCAGCGAGACAAATGGGAACAGAAACCTTTGTTCAATTCTCTCACATTTTGGAAAGTAAACAATCTTTTGGAACAGTGCTTATAATTTCGACATAGTCTAGCCCATTTAATATATAGAGGATTAGTGCCTGTTCTGGCAGGATTTGATCTCCCAGGATTTTTTGTGAGCTGCTGTAAGAAAGAGAAAAGGAGATGAAAAACTCTGATTGTACAGCAGGCCCAGAATTTCTCCTGGAAGGATTTTTAATTCCCAGGGTTAGTGTGGTTAGAGATTGAACGAATCCCATTTATAAAGAGACACAACCAGTTCAAGAAGAAACTATCACTGGTGCCAATTGCTTTCATAATCTCTTAACCACAGCACAGGACTTCACAGTATTGGTAGTGAGGAAGCAGAAAGGGTAGTTTAATTAAATACAGGATACTGGAAGGTATCTCCTTATTAGGGTAGTTTAATTAAATACAGGATACTGGAAGGTATCTCCTTATTTTATTTTCCTTTTTTTTTGCATATTGCCAGAATTATATTAGAGATTAATATATATATTTTTAAGTATGCACACATACATGTATAGATGTGTAGACAGACATATAATTGCACCCTATGTAATTTACACTGGAAGGAACAAGCAGCAGTTTCCCTGAAGTGTTATATTCACATGGATCTTGCCAAGTGCATGTGTTAAAAGGCATATCACACAAAACTGCACCACGCATTATGCTAAAGCATCAGGAAACCATGGTGAAAAAGCAATTACAACTTATATTCTGGCATTTCTCCCATACGTGATGTGCAATGCTGCAGATGTAACAGGTAGCCTCAAAATTTTCACTTCAGCTGTGGTGCAAGTTATTTAATTGTCTAAAAAAAAGGATGATCCTTGTAGTGGGTAGATACCCTTCCTCTCTCCCATCGTAACAAAAAGTCTTAGGAGTGCTAAGCTGATAAGCATAATAGAAACACTTCAAGTAAACTGACAAGATAAGCTAATATTATAGGATTTAATTATTCTACAAGTACTCACAAAAGCACGATGGAGCCAGAATTTTAATTCATGCAAAATGCCTCTACACTTCAACATGATTTTAACTAAAAAAAGGTTTGGAGGAGCTGGTCCTCCATTGAACATCAAATATTAATTCTGGCAACATATGTTAATACTGAGAGAAGTCAAATTACATAAGGTGAAGATTTTGTATAACATTGATAAACACAGATAGTCTTATTTGTTATATACTCATACATACTTTGTATCTTATACACAAGGTTTTTCCATATAATGTATAATCTTTATTTTTATAAAATTGAACAGTGTTTGTGTTACAGTGCATACAGAAATCTATTGTATTTCTTTGATGATGTTTATAGTTCTGCTGCTGCTGAGCAAGATAAAGCTCTTCATGAAAGCAAACCTGAACCTTTTTTTCTGGATTGCTGAAGTCTACTTGAATATACTAGCATTTATTTCTCAAAGGAATAAGGAGCAAGCAGCAGCAGCAACAGTATTTGCTGCTGCAGGAACAGTTTGACTTCAGCCTCCCACCTTTTCTTTTTGTTTTTTTAAGGTCAAAGTCGGTTGTTAATCAGGTCTGCTTGACCAAGTAGGAGTAAGGCAGCGGAGAAGGTCTCAGGCAAGGTCACAGGCAGTCTTTACAGAGAGGCTTCAAGGGACAGACAAGTAATTCAGCTTACCGAACTTGAAAGGAAACGTTGAGAGAACTGACAACTCAGTAACTTTAAAAGATATTTTTTTGAAAAATGAGCAACAATCTGGTCAGTATTATCCAAAAGAAATATGCAGGCAACAAGCTGTTTGCTATGTGAATATTAGGATAGAAAAATATTTTTAAGACTAGTAATAAAATATTCTATCAAGAGGGAATCCTTTAAACATTCAGGGAAGGCTATTCAGAAGCAGTATCATTTCAGTCATTACAGGTGAGCAAACACCATCTTTATTATAATCACTGCTTATCATTAGCATCAGCCTCTGGAGACTCCAGCTGGGACCAGGACTTCACTGTGCTGGGTCCTGGACATACAGAGAAGAAGAGGTATTCCTGCCTCTAAAGAGCTTATAACTTAAATAAGTAACACTGAAAAAAAAAAGTATTATTATTCCTTCTGTGCTAGGAAATACATGGAAGGGGTTCAGGAGAAGCTGGATATATTCGAGTGAGTCTACGCAGGAGAGCTGGAATAGGACAATGACTACCTGGGAACACTACAGACTTTTTTTTTTTACATCAGGACAGATCAACTCATAATTCAATTATACACCTGGTAAAAATAAATCCTTCTCTAAAATCATACTAGTATTTGCATGAGAGTGACTCAGAAGAGAAGCAGAAAGAAGCATGTGAATATAGCAAAATATTAGATTCAAGAAATACGACCTGCACTTTTGTCCACCTGCACACAGAGGAACTCATGTGAAGCCCTTTCTATTTCTTTTATGTTTCTCTGCTACACTAATCCTCTAAAACACAAAGAGAACATTTATTAAATGGAAATCTTTTTATTTCCATTTAAATCAACAACACGCTAGACAAAATGTGTGTTTTCGCTGGTCATTTATACTGGAAGTTCCCCAGATCAGTCATTTCTAATAATTAATGCTGAAGTGCACACGGTCATTTAAGAGGCTACACAAGCGAGTCATAGAGTAAGCCATGACCTAGAAGCATGGGAAGAATCTGGAGTGCATCAATTGGTCAGCACTGAGCAACAGCAACAAGAAACAGAGCAATACTGTTTCTTACATGTGGATCTATAACAGTATTTGCTACCCTTCATTTGACTTCAGAAAACTCCAGCTTTCAGTGGGACCCATCTAGCCTAGATGGGTAGACCAGAAGGGCCTAGTTGGTTCCATCCATGGCCACGCAGCAATGTCTGTCCAGTCATCTTTAGCATCCCCTGTTCCAGAAACACAGATCTAGGATTTACTTACAAGTCAGACCTGCAGAGCGCTGCAGAAGATTTTCTAGACCTTAGTTGCTTGGTCTATATCTAATTTGGAAGGCACTGCCATGCCACCATGTGAATAAGAGGAATGCACAGAGGTTAATGGAGAGATTTTAGAAAGATTTTCTGAACACCACTTAAATCTGTTCAACTGACATGCTTTCTGCTCCCCGGTGAGACATTTCACCTCTCAGCAAGAATTTTGCCTCTGTAAAATGAAGACTATATGAGGGTTAACAACCTGTCAGGAGGAAGTTTATATCGATGACAGTATATAATTCATTTGTTGCATGTCACTCTTGCGCTTTGAGAAATGCCATGAACAGAACTGAGTTAGCCTTCCCCAGTCTCAGGTTGGGAGCTCAAACTGCCTATCAACCATATTTAATTTTTTTTTAGGTTGTTGAGCATCTAGTAAACACTCACTAGTTAATCTAATCAAAAAAGGAAACAGTGTTTCCTTTTTTTTGTCCTAAGTGTTCTTACATGCACGTCACAATCCATAGGCTAAAACCCACTGAGAGAAAGAATAATGGCTTTTGTACACTAGCTATGGCTTGAGGAAACAAGTAGCTTGCTCAATATGGCATAATTTTGTAAAGAAAATTAGAAAGAATGGTAAGAAAACCATATAAGGAAAAAAAACACCTTAGCATCTTATTAAACTTTTAAAAAGTTTAAAGTGGAATTTCATTACAAAGGGAAAGAATTAGCATGAATTAAGGTTACAGCAGGCTAACTCTGAATGATTAATGGCTTGATTTTCAGATGTGCTGAGAACTTATATTTTCGCGATGCTGACTTAGAATGAATTTTTAGATGCTCAGAATCTCTGTAAATCGGGTCCTTAGTGACTTGTCCAAGGTCATGGCAAAGGGTTGGTGGTAAAACTGAGAACAAAAATTGCCCTCCAAAGTCTCAGTTCTCCATTTTATAGTGACCTCTGGAAAGCCCATTTCAGCATTTTTAACAATGAAGATTCCAGCTAAAATCAAATCTACATTAAGCTGGGCTTTCTCTACACAAATAATAGAGGAATTTCTAACTTAAAACATGGCATTTACAGAAGAACTGTTGTTTTTATTGTTACCAACCTATGTTGAAAGTATGAAACTCGATTACTTGGAAATGTCATGGTTTGAGTAATATTTGGCAAAGCTGAGGTTTGCATGTTGGGTGGAAATTAGAAAGAACAGCCATAGAAGTATATCAGTTAGATTTAACCATAGGACAAGTCCTCTGCTGCTTTCCTTGTCACACACTCACCTCTTCCTAATATTTGTCACAGAGGAAATAAGCAGCAAGACAGTCCAATGGCCAATCAACTTGATCAATCAGAAAATGAATGCCACCTACCCAAGCTCTAGCTTAAAAAATAAAATAGGATGACAGCTTGTTACGACACCCTCACGAAGGCTTCAGTGCACTTTTTACCTGTGCTTTCACTAAGAGCACTTCACGGAGTTTCTTGACCGCATTTGTAATGTCTCTGGTTTCCACAAAGCAGAGGATGCTGCAGATTGCTTTAGCCGCTTCAATCACATTGCCCACTCCGTGCTGTTGATGGCAGAGAAGGAAAAAAATAATAAGGAAACAAGAGGCATACTCTTTAATAGAAGTACCTTGCTATATACTTGACAAGTACACATGCAGAAAATTGTATCTTCACCTCCCCATCCAAAACTCAAATACATCACGCATAAAACTGAGATTGTTAATGCATATTGATATTGCCAGCCATAAGTAGTTTTTTAAGGACAGCGTAATTTTTGTTATAGCCCAAGTACCTTCTAGGAAGTGTGCTTTCCTGAAAATTGTGCTATATTTGGTCTTGCAGAGGCAAAATGTTGGTTTGAAGTATACAAATATTGCAATGGAATTTTTGAGGAGTCTCATACCCAAATGATTCACAAATGTTCTGAGGCTTTCATGAAGCTATGGGTTTATCCCTGCTGTTTTATACCACCCACCTCTATGAGACATGGCAGAGATCCATTTTCCTTAAAAATAATGGTTGTGAGGTTGAAAAATCTTACATATGTGTATTGAATACTTTGCAATTAGCTTTCAAAATTTTTTTTCAACCCCCCCAACCCCCCATATATTTTCAAACTACTAAATCACATTGGTAACAAACCTGGATTTTTAAATATTACCATAAAACAAAAATGTCTAGATAAATCACCTCAAGTATATTGTTCAATATGAGAATAAAATTTGGATCTCAAAGAAAGTGCCACCACCATAAATATCAAATACCCTATATTTAGAAATATCAACGGATGGTAAAAAACAAAAAAAAATACTCCTTCATGCACAGGTACCTGTACATTTATGATCTTCGTAAAGCTTAAAATACATTCCCTGTACAAGCAGAAGCTCCTCTGTTACATATTCTCCATATTCCTGTACTGATGAAGTTTCCTTTTAGTGAGCTACACCATGTCTATGTACTGATAAAACCATTTATACAGCTCATCCATTTCCATGTCTGAAAAAGAACTTCACCAAGATGAACTTACTATTTGTAAGTTTATGGTCTATAACTGAGCTGTACTGAGAAAACTAACACCTGTCACTAAAAAAAGTAAGCACAAAAATTTGTTGAGTTTACTGCTACCATGTTTAACTGCCTTGAGTAAAACTAAAGCAGCAATAAATTAAATAAATTAGCATCAAATATCAGAATTCTTTTAAACATGGTATATATAATTAAAAACAGTAAAACTTTTCCATATTACAGGTATTGGAGGAAAATCAAAGGTCTGAAAACTGTGGACCTTTCTTCAGTCTGAAACAGACTCACCATTCTGGCAAATTACAAGTACTTTCCTTTCTCATGTTGACTCCCTACAACTTGGATTTTTACTGAACTCTTGCAAATCTTCCTCTCCATGCACATATACACTGTCAGTAGAAGTAGAGACTTCTAAAAATAAGATGGTTTTGTTACCACCTATAATAAGGACAAAAACCAAAAATTAAACAGGCTGGTTTACTTGCGGTTGTGAAGAACACAACCGCACAGTAAACCAGCTTGTGTAAAAGTGCATATGTTGATACACACATACACACATTTTTGTAATGAAAAAAAAGTGTTAATTATTTTTAATTTTAATTCAATGTCTTTTTTATTCATATGTGAATATGGATTATTAGCAGACACACATGGAATTTTAGATGTATAAAATAACACACATAGAGATACCTAATTCTGAGTAGTATGCTGGCACTTCAGGAGTAATTCTTGAATAGGCCACTAGGTATACTGCTGGACAGAAAAAATCCCTAAAGATCTAAAGCAAAATGTATTTATTTTTTCCTCTATATATTTAAATACCAGCAGAACCTTAGAAGGATATTTTGATGCTTATTTATATGATAAAAATACTGCTTCCTTCTACAACTTCCATGAACCACTCCTACACTCACTATAAAAAGTTATCTATCTTCTACACTGCATAAATTAGGAAGTTTTCTTAAATGGTGTATTTTGAGTAGATTTCAAAATGAAGTGCATGTTGAAGGATTACCAAAGCATTCAGAATGTCTGGCTGTCTGACTGCACATGCTCTGTAAGAAAAACCCACATATTTCAATTCCAACACCATCAATTCCTCTCCCCATGCCGATTTGGTTTTTTTATTTGCCTTTTCATTTTGTAAAGGTATTATCCACCGCAAAATGAGTCTGTCATTTATTGGTTATTAGTTACTAATGCTGGGGACAGGGGGGTTGCCAGTAGTCAGAAATCAGGAATCAGTATCTCAAGAATTTTTAACAGACACCCTTGAATGAGGGAATTTGGATTTTTTTAATGGAGGCACTCAAGACCTGTCAAAATAAAACTGTATGTCAAATGAGCACAGAATTTAAACATGTGTAGAGGTATTTAAATTAGTTTATGTGGGTAACTCTCACAGGGCTGGTTACCTGTGCGCTGAGGGTGGATTGCAGTGGATCAGAAGAAAGGTCCCAAATCTCCCACTGCTCTAAGTGTCAGTTTTGAAAATCAAGAGAATTATTTCTATCTAACCTTGGGATGAGGAGAAGTTACAAAGACCCAAATTTAAAATGGATTTAATGGATTTAATCTTCATGGAAAATAAACAATTTTGGATTCAGATAATAACTCAAGAGTTCTCATTTTCTTGTTTGCTTCCTTTACTATAAAGTCATGATTATAACAGAACTGCAATTTTTCAAGCCATTTATTAAAGCCAACCAGTAACACTAGTTCTAATTATTATAGGCTTGAAAAAATTCCATACATTATTATACTGCTGAATGAAAGCATTTGCATGATTGTTTAACATGTGTCATTAACTCGCAACCCTGCTCTTTTAATCAATTCACATGAACTTTTTTCAGTGTTCCTGGACAGACAGGACCTTGTTAAATATATATATATTATAGCTATAGAGAAATTTAGCTCTAGAGTAAAACACACATTTGTTGCATGACATGAATATTTCAGAAGTGTCCTGTCTTCCCTTTATAAATAAGTTAACAAACTCAAATGATTGCCTACTCAAGATAAAAGTCTTGAGCAAAAAAAAAAGGCAAAAACAAATTTGAGAGATCTCCATTTAATAGGGTTTGAGATTACAGCTCCCTTTGCATTTGGAATCTTCTTACTTTAGACTCTACCATTTCAAGTGAATGTGAGTAACTGAACTCATGGGTCTTCTTCAGTAAAGGAATAAATATATAATTTTGAGTTCAGAGACCTCATTTTTCCCAAGGGCTTCCATCCCATATTACACACTACATAGTCTCCTTTAAGAGTTTGCTCACAGAAACAAATATCAGTGAATGTTTACACAGCATCAAAATCAGAGCCCTGCTTTGGAATTAGGCACAAGCTCACAGATCTTAAATTTGTGTGCATTCTGCAAAAGCAGTGTAAAAGATTTGCACAAAAATGCAGACTATTTTTATCTAAATATATATGTTTACTTAGGTATTTATATATGCATTTGTGTGCATTTTTACATATAGGTGTGTTTGCATGTGTTATCATATACATATGCACAAATATTTATGTATGTGAACACTCACATACATATATAAACACACTTCTATGTAAACATATATATGTATGTGCATACACTTTCTGGCTATTCAAAATAGTAATACCAAGAATATGCAGAAAGATCAAAATCTGAACTTGAGTACAGGTGACATTCATGTTTTGATTTACATTAAAAAAAAAAAAAAGCCCTATTTTAGCACAATCAGTTATAATATTCTGTTATAGATGCACTGGAATATCTCCCTGCCACTACATTGGTATTTCTGAGTTTTTTTAAACAAAAAAATCTCTTTTCTTAACAGTTCCAAATCCTAGAAAGACAGCTATATCACAGCCTGAAACTCAAAACAAATAACCATTTGGCTTCTTCCAAAAAATATATGTATTTGCCCTTTAGAGTTTAAATTCTGCCTAAAACAGTAGTTAGCAGAAAAGATTTCCTAAGATTTCCTTTGAGCATGGAACAGTCCCAAAAATTTTAAAAGAAAGCCTTTATGAGTTTTTCAGCCTAAGCCTAACCCTTCAAATAATCTCATGTTTGAATATATATCCTAAGTAGTTAAACAGTTTCCTGTGGGTTTACAAAATCAAGGACATTTTTTTGCCAAAATATATAGTATACTATATAGCATAGATATATAGTATAGTATATATAGTATATAGAATACTATATGCTACTATATAGTATGCTATATAGAATACTATGTAGTACTAGTGCATATATCTTTGCTAGTTTTAACCTCTATACTGTCAAACAAAACAATCCTGGTTTTATTTACAAGTTCCTTTACACTATGAAACAGTCACCTTGGACATTTTAAATTGGTAGCACTTTTTTCTTCATTTCAAGTCAAATTTTGTTAAAAGAATTCATAACCTTTCCGAGTCAGGTTAAACAGCTCTAATTAAAATCCACTTTAATTGCATCTGAGACAGATTAATAATTAGATAACATTCACATGGAAGTTAATGCTTTTCTGGTATAACAAACTGAGAAAAAATACCTCATTTTGCAATAAATACTCCACTTGACCTCTGTATTTCATAATAATCGAGACAAGGTTCTCTCTGGAAATTGGAAAGAAGAAAACAATCTCAAATTAATAGCAAATGGATAAAGAGAGCACATATTTTTTCACATGGTATAAATCAGAAATAATTGGACTGACAGAGATTTTATGTATCTAATACAACTGTTTATGTAGACCTCATGTTAACACCCACCCTGGTTCTCCATAGTCCCTTAGTAGCCATTTGCCACATAAGGTATGTACAGAAAATTTTCTATTTTGACCTGGAGGATACTTGTTTCACAGGTGAAAGAAATCCAGTAAATGGCTTCCTAATGAGTCTATTTAACTTCAAAACCTGTTTCTTTCACTCTTTAAGACTAAGTGTGTGCTTAAATATTACCTTGAAGAAGGATGTGTTTAAGTGCATGCTATAATGCCTTCTTTCCTAGATCACTTCACAGACTGTAAAGCTGCAGAGACCCAAGCAAAACATCTGCAAAACATCTGGAAAATCTCTACAGTTCAAAAGCCTCTATTAAGTCACAAGTATGACAATGTGCATTAATAAAAGGAGCACCATTGCCATGGAAATCATTATACTTTATTTACTTACATTTCTGATGTTGATGTTTTCATACTATTTCAGTGGCTGCCTTTATCTACTATTACTTAAGGTAGAGATTTGTATTTCTTTGCCATTCAATGCAGTTGCAAAAAATGGTTTAACTGATACTCCTGCTGTATCCTCTGCTGGAGACCTCTGCCGTGCTCTAGTACCACGCTACCTTTAGGCTACAAATATTACCACCAAATTTATACAAGCAGTCTGCTATGTCTCCACGAAGTGTCACTAAATTCGTTGCGGTTATGAACGGGAACACAAAACTTTGTAAATTAAACTGCAAGACTGAAGCTACTGCTTTAAGTATCATCCCTTTAGAACCAAAAGCTCCAACAGACAATCATAATCAGACTTTTACTTTTTAAATAGTGTTTTTGTCTCTTTCTGCCTTTAATCCTACTGTGTACTATGCACAGTGAAATTCAAGTTAGCATTTCCTTGTGGGCTGGAAAAAAGTGAAAAACTTTCCTATTGAGCCCTGGCTGTCGTTACTGTGCTCACCTTTGACAGCCTCCCCTCGGACTGCATATTCAGCTGTAGAGAGGGAAACCTTAATTCCCACTAAATGACTAACTTATTCCCTGGCAAGACATCATCTTATTGCCTTAGTGGTACTTTTTTGTAGACATCAGGGAACATGTGCTTGTATAGAAAATGGAAAGTTTCAAATCTACACTCCTTCCCATCTGTGTTTTTTTGTTTATTTCTTTTGTTTTGTTTTTGATTGTTTTACCCTACTGCTTTATTTTTCTCTTATATTTCCCACTCTCTTTTTCATTGGTGTTTTCTCTCTTCAGTGGGCTTGGAAGAAGTTTTTTCTCATTGCAGACTGGCAGCTCTGATCACACAGATATTTGTTTGCTTCGGACCGAATCCAGGTTTTGCACAGGATGTTTTTGTGCCATTCATACATCATGCTACTGAAGTAAGGCTAATTGAGCAATTGGAGATTAGAGTTACAGACATTGTCGAGGGTACAGTTTGTATAGCACATGGTTAGATTATCATGTATTAAAATTCATCATGTTGAATAGAGAAATTTCAGGTGTTAATACCAGAGTACAATTCCCTGTAGATGCCTAGCATTCACCTCCCCCTACAGATGGCTTTGCCTTTAGAGTTTTGTATTTGCAACCTTGCACTAGCCTTATCTAGCCAGGCAGTTAGTGTCTGCCAAGTCCTCCTGTAATCCTGTTATATTGTAGATAATACAAGTTGCTGCTTTGTTTTGAGCAACTCCCCAGGCATAATGTCTTTTTCATAGCATTGCCAAACTCAAAGGTAGTTCTAAATGTAAGAGCTTGCCCCATTGCTTTGGTACACATGTAAGCATAGTCGTTAGCATGCTTGGACTAAATACATTTTTCAGAATAATTTCCTAAATACTAATACTAACTCAAAAAAATAGCATGTTTCCCATCATTTTATCCCACTCTACAGAATTTTATGTATAAAGCAGCCATAATTGTACATAATAAACAGGAAAAACACCACAACAACTTGTAACAATGATCAGAATATCTCCATTAATGCTTTCCTGAGTCTTTGGCTGCTAGATAACGAATACTCATATATTATATACAAGCACATCTCTGATAGGTGTGTATACATATGGCAACAGTAAATAATTCATGAACATTTAATTGTTTCTTTGGGAGGGTCCTGGAGAAACCCCTTGGATCTTCTAGCACGGTAATATAGTAAAAGAGCTATGAAAGAGAATCATCAATAACTTAGGAGAGTCAGTCTTGGACCCTGGCTGGCCTACATGGGAGAAAGCAGAGAGCCACGTACAGTGAACACATGCAGCACTAATTTTTTAATTTCCTGGCAGCCACTCTGTGTGGAATATTGCCAGGTTTCCTTTCCAAAGGGCCATTTATCTCCAGGTTGCCTAAATAAGCTCTGCCTAACTGCAAGTGTCAGATTAGCCACCGTGTCATATTTATTGGCACCTTGATGTCAGAGATTATGGGCCAAATGCGGCCCCGGTACAATGAGTACAGTTCTGCTGACATACTTGATGATTTACATTAGGTTTGATTTTCAAACTATGACTATCAGTGAAAGAAGCAATGTAGATGCTGCTGGTTTCATTTGTTACACACTTGTCTGAGACAGCAGACATAAACAGAGATCTTGATATAAACAGAGATCAGGTTCCAGGTTGTTCTTTTTACTTCATTTCAAGACAGCCAAAACAATCCTTCTTCCTTCCCTACTGGATCTAAGCAGATGGTGTCCATCTCATTCAGCAGGTTCTATAAGACACAGATGTTTGTGTGCTACCATCAGAAATGTAACTGCAGTACACTAAGGCAATCCTGAGCGTTATTTAATTTACCTAAAATAGTTGCTCATAGCTCTGAAGATACAACATTATGGGTAGGTTATCTGCCAGCCTTGCCATACACCAAGCAGATTTGTACAGCCTGTGTTGAGGCCCTTCCACTACCTCTCCATAGCTACTGCACCCCTACCTAGATACAACAATACGATGTGCTGCAAACATACCTCCCAGTATAGAATAGGCACAAAGATGTGACGTGTTATGTCACACACTGCTGTTATGACAAGGTGTGGTATTGCTGACTGACCTGCCCACAATAACAAACAAACACACAAACACACACTATGGCAGCTGCTTGCAGGAATATGAGCCATTCTTCACTGTAGAGCTCACTTGATTCTAACTTTGGTGATACTTTAAATTCAAGTCCTCTCTAAACATAAGTGTGCCAGTGTTCTCAATTCAAATAAGTTGACTATAATGGGGAAAATTAGTACATGAACACTGCTGAAGACATTTGCTCCAAGAAGTGATTTTTGATTGCTATGTTAAGGAGTGCAGAAGGGCTTATGATCACAATACTTGGGGCTAGATGCATCAGTCATGTGCACACTCCATCACACTCACTGAGAGTCTTCTCCAGCCCCACTACAGGTCTAATGATCTGCTAGGACACGAGGGTCTTCATTCTTCAAAAGAGTTTTCAGTTCAAAATGCCCAACATAACACGAAGAGTTTCTGTATCAAGACATGGAATGTGTGCCATGCATGCCCCAGAGTGAGTCTTGAGCACTTGTGTTCAAGGCACAAGTCCAATTGCAAGGACACTAAGACTGTCTAGACAGGGAGCCCTGCAAGGCACAATCCTATGCACACAGCCTGCAGAAAGCAGCTACTGAATGAACTATCCCCACATGTAATCTGCTGATTGCCTTGCTATTTTCTGAACCTATGAAAATTTTAATTATCCTGATGTGCCATGGCAAGGATCTTCAATTCCAACCATTTATTTAATCTTTCTAGCAGCCATTGTGCACCAAGCTGACATTCAAAACTCTTTATTATAAACCTAAGAACTCATTCCTGGTGGCAAAAGTCAACACAAGAGGATGTGATCTACACTTATCTTCTCAGAATTCATCTGCCATTTTATCACACAGTCAACTCAGTAAAGTCCTTCTACAATTAATCATTGGGAACTCATGCTTTTACTACTTTGCATATTATAGTCAGCAAACTTGGTTACTTAACAATTAACCTTTTCCTCCTCTCAACCAATTTAGAAATGAATTTGAGAGCATGGGGCCTGAGCACAGGTATTTCAGTGCCCCTACTGCTGGAGGCAGTCTTTTCCCACCCATCAAGAATTCTTGCGACAAGCAGGAAAAAGTGAACAGATGCTGTTCTGCCTTTACTTTTTCAGCAGTTAGGAAAAAACAACTACTGTACTGTAAATGAAGAAAGGAATTATTTATTACTTATGCTATTTGTTTTTCATTGTCCTAACTATCAGAGACAAATCTTGTCATGTACTTGATTTGAAACTCAACAACTTCTATCACATATTCCCTTGTAAGACTCTCTTTACAATGGAAAAGGCCACACACTTTATAGAAAAAAGAAGAAATAAGTGTGAATAAATGTTGCATATACAGATTCACATGACTGATTTGATCCTCTTATGGTAATAAAATGAATAAAATGAAAATACAAATAGCCATTTATAAATAGCTATTATTTTCTGACAAGCAACCAATAAGGTCTGAAAACACCCGTAGAGATTTCTCCTATAGAGAATACATACACAGCTATTGCAAAATACTCATGTTCTTACCGAGTCAGTCTCCAAGCACAAGTATACTCCAACAGTTGATTCACACTGAACTGTCTTTGGTCATCCTCATGCTATGAAAGAGAAGCATATAATGAGATACTCTGATATGAAGAATGTGCACGACAGTTCTGCTTTTCTTCCAAAGTCAACATGTTCTTTTAGCAACTCCTTCCTTTCAAAGTGTTGGTCTGAGATTTTATTTGATGACTCTCTCCTATCATATTGGCTTGTATTATACAGGTGGCCACAGAAAATTATCACAGCAGTTCCTTCCATTACATAAAATTGAAGTTTATTATGCATTAAGATTACAGCAGGGCCTCAGAAAGCCCCGCTTCTGCTTTCTTTTTACAGATGGCAGTAGGCAGCCTTCTTCAATAGCAACGGACACAGGACATGAAGCAGAAATGACTTTGTATGTATAACCCGATCTCAGCCTTCTTTCCTAAGGGAATAAAATGAGGAACATTGTATCATTCTTTGCAACCTCTTCAAAGAGACTTATCTCCCCTCATTTTGTCTCATTTGGCATACTCTGCAGATGAGATCAATTCACCTTCAGATGTAGTCTTTTCTCTACCCTCGCTTGTGGCCCATGATACCTTAACTCCTTCTGCCCCTATTAAGGTAGCTCAGCCCATGCCAGCCATGTACTGTCTGCTTGCAGGTATCACCCTGAGCAGAAAAAAAAATCTCTTCTGTTATTTTTTTACCAATTTAATTTTCACACAATAAACAAGATTTAAACAAAACAGAATAGCACAATCCAGTAGTGATCTGTTTCAAGTTTATGACTTTTTTCTTTAGGCAGAATTCATAACTAAAACTACATTTTCCAAAGGAAAACCCCACTATTTTACCTGCTGTGCTGAAAAGTCTTCTGCTATTTTGAATGTTAGTGAATTAAAATATTGAAAGCTTGTTGAGAGTACTGTGACCACACTAGCAGTTTTCACAAGGTAATTAAAGGGCAGCAGTGGTCTGAAGCAAACATTCTGGAGCAATTTGTGTTTCTGATATTGCTGGATTTAAGTTAAATATGATAATTCATGGGTGAATTCATTCAAGCTAATTCTACTTTAGATTGCTACATAGAGATTTTGCAATAGCACCAATTAAGGTGCAGGATCTTTTTGAACTAGCTGCCTTGCCAATATGCTAAACAGAATTTCCATTTAAAGAGTTACTATCTATTTAGTAGAAGTAAGCGAAAGATGAATTAGGGTGAAGGCAAAAGGAAAGTTCTCATGCATTAAATCTTGAATACGTGCATCCTAAAACTAACCTCTAAGCTTCATTTGCCTTGGCTTTTGAATGTAGAGGGACACCTCTGCTCTTTATTTCAGTGTGTTAGAGTGAGTTAAATGTTATCATAAAGCAGTATACAATGTATTTGGAGGACAGGATGCATTTGGGAGCAGATATGTTTTTCTTAGTTGACTTCAGAATCTGCCTCGGAGTCCCACTGAGCTGCTGCTACAAATATGATTACAAGATTACAAGTCATACAAGAAAAGCTTATGGATGCCGATTTCTTGAGAGCAGCACTAATTGTGCTCCCAGGACTCTGACATAATAATTGCATTTTCTCTCTCAGCTGAAGGCTCAAAATTGTCTTCTGCCCACATCACAATCCACCACTTGTTTAAAAAAAGAGTTTAGTTTAATGCTTTCTTCATTTCTATTAATGTGGCTCGTGCCAATTTCTGGTTTAGGCCACCTTCTCTAGAGTGGTGTGAAGCTAAAAGCTTCTATTCCTCATTTCTTTTGCACTTCAGCTTGCTGAGATCCCCTTTACTCCCTGTTCTGAAGTTTCTCGCTTTCTCCCCTGGAAGTGTTATCATAATCAGAAATGTGCAACTGGGGAAGGAAATAGCACCAGATATTTCATACCTGCATTCTATGATATCATGATTTGGATTCGCTAATTCTAGACAGAGCAACAATCCACCACATGCACCTTGACTCCCAGAAAATACCCTGACAGACCTGATCATGCCACCACAAACAGGACCTTTCCTTTCAGATACGAGTGCCCTGTCGCAAGGGCTCCCTGGAGCTGGATGAAGACTTTGGGTCCGTGACTTATGACAGCTCTCGAGCTGTTAACATTCTTTGCTATTATTAGTGACCTGAAGTAACTCGATAGCCTGAAGCTTTCACAGCATGTCAGCTATCATAGAGAGGTGATCGATAATTCACTCAAACATTTCTTAAGACGTCCCTATTCCTAGTTAAGCCCTATTGTAAGCTATTAATTTTGATTTCACAAATTCTTTAAGACAACAAGAGTGCTCCAGTGGCCTGAGCACCACTAATTTATCTTCCAAGCTTGTTACCTGCCTGAAATATGGCTTTGAAGACTATTTCTGTTTCTTTGTTAGTAATTATTCTACCTGGCAATTGTAACTATTTCTGAAATGTGAAACGTCAAGAGGCGGTCACACTCTGCTCTTGGCCTCCACAGTGCACTGCAGTATATTAAACCTCATTTAGACCTGTCAAACTGCAGCAGTGATGAAGCAGCCTTTGAGCATATTAATAGGACGTGAAGCATTTTTACAGCAGCACAATTTTAAAGCACACTTAAACACAGACAAATGACTTCTTAGTAGTGAACAGGACACAAATTCAAATAACAAAACACCACCTCTTATTCTGATGGACCACTGACTTCGTCTTCCTCAGTTTGTGACTATACTTGGATGTTAACACTTAATTTGATATATCTGGTGAAATACTGGCATTGTTAACACTAGCAGATATGAAAGTAAAGGCATGTTTGGATTCTCAAGAAATATCACTTCCTGGCTGATTTTGTCCAAAAAAAAGCAAGTAATGCTCTTAGAAAGCAGGGGGTTTTTTTGCTGCCACACCACTATAAAGATTCTTGCTTTACTCAGACATTAAGCACATGAGGACAGCTCTGAAAAAAACAGGCCTCTTGGGCTAGGCAGAGCTCTGTCTGGAAAAGGTGTATGGATGGTTTGTACTTCTGTGCTATTCCACTCTGCATCTCTTCCTGAGCACCACCCTCTAAGGAAGGTAACATTTCTAACCCACTAGAACTCATGGAGGTTGCACTTACGAGTTACCCCTTAGGGGGGAAAAAATAATAAAAAAAGAAAGAATAGGTTAGATGTGAAGCAGAGTATCAAAACAAACCTAGTGTTTGGTGCTCAGAATACAGCACAACTGTGTCTGTAACCCGGACCATCATTCAACAAAAGAACTATTGTATTGTTTCCACATTTATTGTCATTCTCAAGATTTCAATGCATGGAGAAAAATCTACAAGATGCAGAATTTACAGTCATGTCCACAGAAGCTCTTCGTATGGTTACATGATATAAAACTTAGTTTCGGTATGTTCGGTATAAAGATAACCTTATATTCTTTGTACAGGCTTTCTAAGGGGGTTTAGGAGGAATCTAGTGTCTTGAAAATTCAGGTATTAAAAGGCTTTTGTTCAAAAGTGTTAAGGCTGATAAATCTCACATCTCAAAAATCAAAATCAATTTAAAGGTCGCTGACTGGCTCAAGAGTTTGTGAATCCATGAAAGCCCCAGGCCAAATTTCTTGCCTCTAACTCCGCTGTTCCAGATGACTTTTTTTTTTGGATACATTGTAACACAGAATACCAGCTACTCACAGAAGGAGAAAACAGATACTCTCATTTAAAAGTTCTTCAGTTGTATTCACAAAACAATTGTAAATATTTAGTTATTGCCCAAAATTTATCAACTCCATCTTTTACTATACTTAAGCAGATTATTTTAGTAATTCTTTACTGAGTCCATGAGCTTCACAGAAAATTAAGAGGCACAGTAGATGATTTATTAGGAAATTTGGTGTTGAAAGCCGTGAATGAAAGGGCTAAATGTCACTGTTCAGTTCTTCTTGATGACATCTCTTTAATATTATGGTTTACGAAGGTTTCCAGTAGCTATGGAATTAAAGTATAGTAATAATAATATAATAATTAATATAATAATTATTATTATTTATATTCAGAGTTTCCTGCTCTCAAACCAGCTGGCAATTTGGTCCAGAGATTAAAGTCCACTTAAACTCTGAACTGCAAGCAATTAGTTAATAACTAAAAATATCAGACCATTGCCCCTCTTGCTTTCTGTGTGTATTTCTATTGCCTCTCAAGGACAACTGGCTATTAGACTCAATAAAATCAGTAATACAGCTGTGACATACAGGAGCCTAGAAGTACTTTGAAGACGTGGTGATACAAGAGCAATAAATCATCCTTCACCATATGCAGTAGGGAGAGAGAAATGTATGCATCATAGTATAAGTTTTAAGTAAATGCCTGCTCTTTTATCAGAATTTCAGTTGAAAAGAACAGGCACACAGAACTGATACAGCCTTCTACCTGCTTACAGGGGAATAGCTTGGCCAAGGGATAACTTTTAAGAAATTACCCAAAATATTAACTCCTAAACTCTACCACATTACTTAGAAAGGTGAAATAAGTATTCCTTGAATACTGCCTCGTATGGAGTACAGGTGCAGTATGGGACAATTGTGCTGTCATGAATAATAGTGATTTGCGTATACCAAGAGATATTTTTAAATATGTATCTCGGTTTCAAAGATGCTACATAAGGTAAGCAAGAATGATTAGGAGGACAGTCTCAAGACACAGAGCATTTGAGGAGCCTATGCAGAGCATAGGCTGTAAAGCATATTAGTTTGAGGATGTATAGTATAGCAGAGCAGTAGATAGGTAATTTGCTCTATATTTTAGGGTTTTTTTTTAGTTTGAGTGCACAGTAATTTGTAGAGAATCAATCATTGGCTTAGAAATTGGAAGACAAGATTGTAGGGGAGTTGTTTGAGGCCACCTGTTTTTAGGGTGTGCATGTAAACAATACCTCCAGTGGATGTTGTACACATACAAGTAACAAATAGCACCCTAATCAAACTTCTAACTCATGTCAGTGATTTCTCAGGGCAGGAAACACTGGAAGCCTGCAACTGGCCAATAATATATATTACTCCATTTAATAGCTTGAGACACTGACACAGAAAAGGCAAGTGACTTTTCTATAATTACAGAGTTACATGCGTTCATAATTATATATAATAATCTTCACACTACTCCTCCCAAGCCCAGCCTTCTTTGGCACCACTGCATGGAAAAATCTAGTCTGCCAGACTCTTAAAACAGAACATCTTGTCACAGATCTAAGACCAAAAAGGAATATGAAAACTGTTCAATCTCATCTCCTGTTTAATGCAGACAATAGAAAACACCCAGTGATTTCTGACTGGAGCGCAGCAACTTGCAGTTCATTGACAACAAGGTATCAAGACAAGACAGAACTAATTCCATAGGTGACTGAACATGAATATTGCTCTTTTTGTGGCTGGGATGATACAATATGTGGATGAAAAAGGACACATGGGATGGATACTTGCTCACCTCCTTCTGAGGGCATATTCAAGCATCAAATCATTTTTCTCTAGATTTACAATGAACAGCTGGCAATTCCCTGATCTCTATCATTGTTGAAGAGCTGACCTGGTGGTGAAAGCTCCCATGTTTCCTAATTTATTTTCTCCTGAACAATACTAAACCAAGTAGAATCAACAGTTTTCAAAAATAAGTAACTAAATGAATATTGTCAGTGAAGAGGGAAAATAATTTAAGCCCCTACTGCATGCTGTAGCACTTCATTATTCCAGTTTTATCTATAGAATGGCTAATGTTTTCAATAGAAAAAACATATATTTTGCCTCATTTTAGTCCCCTTTTTAACGCTCTAAGTTGCATATTGCACTGAACCTGATGCTTTTCATCATGACACACAACAGAAATGAAGAGAAAGCCCTTATTCTATTAGAAATCTGTTATCTGACCTATATATTGACAGATTCAGCATGGCAATATGTATACTTAAAGCATGTAATCGGAACTAACTGAATAAAGTCAACCACTGCAAGTGAATAATGCTTAGAACACCAAAGCTTCTCCTGCACAGCAAAGCTTGTGTTGGAAGTAATTCAAGCTGGACCACAGGGAATAAAGCTCACACTTAGGAACACAGATCAGTGTCACTAAAGCTCCCTAATCCCTTCCAAGGCTGTTTAATCTCAACTAATCTGAATATGTATCTATTAGGACTTAAGGTGTGATAAGACAACGTTTTCTGTTAGGACATATGCTTGTGTACAAATACACACACGTGCCCGCATGCAAACACGCACACACAGGCACGTGTGCATGCCACACACAGTGTGTATGCACAGGGACAGAATGATTCCAGCTTTTTCAAACCACTCTCTCAGTGAGAACGATCAGAAACCAGATGTGATTCATCTTATGCAATACTTTAAATGATTTTCCCTTTGTTGCATTTCAAAACACAGAAAGACCAATCCAAACCAGTAATTGACAAACTGAAATCACTAGCATGAACCAAGCCTGATAAAACAGAATTATTCTACAAAGGTTAGCTTTATTTTCTTTTCAGACAAGGGTTCTCTAGAGTGACGCATTGGATAGATAGAAGCACAGAAACAAGGCAGAGCTATTCCCCAGAACATTGCAACTGCAGCTCAGCACCAATGTATGCATGAGCAGGAAAGCAAATAATCTCTCCTTGATTAATACTGGAGGTGGTTACATAAACGGATTGGGGGAATTCTACTCGTTCAGGGAGGCTGAAAGAAAGGAAGAGGATAAAAAAGGACAACATACCGTTCGAGCCAAATTTTGCTTCAAATTAGTAGCGATGTGTAGCCGAAGCTGAATGCAGGTGGTTGGCTTGCGAAGACTCTCGTGGCTGCCCAAAGTGTGATTGCTGCAGTTTTGGGAGAAAAATAAATGATTATCTCTGCTTGTCACTTCCTTCATTTTCTCTCTTCTTCTCTTAAAAGCACTAGTAGATGAAATTCTAAATGCAAAGCAGACTGAAAAGCATGAAACGAGCTTGCCATTTACATCTGTGAAAATTGACGGGGCTTGGTCATGGCTTATTTTCTGTCGAGAAAATTTCAAAATAATCAGTTGTATCTTTGACTATTTAGTTCTGTTACAGAACAACAATGAAACAGAGAAAGAATATCTAAATAAACTGCACCTGCTCTCAACTCTCTCTTGAGACAATTCCTGTATATTCTTTAATATATTCAGTGACCTTCAGAGAAACCAAATTTTTGATCCTGTGCAGCTCTCAGAGATGGTAAAAGAAGCTCTGTGTCAGTTTTCTACCTTCTCTAATCATATGGCCAGCTAAGGCCTCACAGAGAGCTCTGTACTCACTCAGATGGAATGGTTCCTATGAACTATTCTGCCAACCCACAATGCTTTTAATTATGTTTAATAGTACTTGTAACAAAAACCATTTTAGTGGTTCCCTTCTTATTGTTTTAATCAGGTGAAATAACGCAAAAAGACTTTATTTTTTTTCAAATTAAAAAAACATCTTTGGGATTAATTGCTAGGAAAAATGATACTGATTTTTGCAAAGGCAATTTCATCACTGAAATGAGTTAATATGCTTTTCCATTACAACTCTAGTGCATGTTCAGCTAAATTCCTGTCACTTCCTTCAGGCCTACAGACATAAGCATGCCTAAAGGGATACTCCATGTTCATATGGATTTACAGCCATGAAGGAAAGTGAATTCTTTTCTGATTTGTCAAGTGTCACAGAAAACTTGGAATTCAGCTACTAATGCTATTTATTTCTAGCTGAAAATGCTTTTTATGAAATAGCAGACCAAAATCGGTAGGATTCAGTTCCAAGAAACACTGGTCCGGTGAACAAATGGCAGAAAGAGTGACTGAGGGCTGAGGATTTACTTCTTACGTGGCAACAGAGGTCCCAGCAGAAATAAATGGTTAAATTTAAAGGAGTGTGCTATAGATAATTGCCACTCAGCACAATTACCAAGGATTCATATATCTTTTAAGTGTTCTGTGTTAACCCTGCACTGCAGAAACCCATTTCCATTTGACAGAATAAATACCCAGAGCAAATACTCCTTTGGCAGTGCTTCCATACATTTGCAAAACTCCTTGATGTTAAGGACAGCAAGCACAGATATAAGGGGGCGTGCAGAAGCCAGAACTGTCACAGTGAAACATCAGTGCTGTTGGAAAGTGTGTCACTATTATGCCTCAGCTTTTCTCTAATTCCTTTACCAGTAAAAATCCAAACAACCTATTCTGAGTCCTTCAGACCATACCAACTTAATGTTTCACATGTTGTTCCTCAATTTATATCTGTGCTGTGCCTACTCGTTGCTTTCTTCTAACTCCTTCCATTAGATTTCACCTATTCAAGTGCACCTCAGGACTCTCCAGTTGAACTCCTCTCTGATCTTGATGCTCCTTCAAAACAGCCTCACAACTTTTTTTTTTGAGCCTTACCCCACACCATTATTTCTTCTCTTCCCTTTCTGCCCTATCTATTTTCAACCTCAGGATGGGTGCAGTAAAAAGAAAAAAATTATGCAAACACACCTGCAAGTCCTGAGTCACTTCGTCCCAGACTGCTCCAGTATCTTCATTCCCTTTAATGCAATCGTTACACCAACCCACTGCTGGAAAATAGCGCGGCAATAGCGATTTACACTAGCCGAATGCTCCTTTGTGGTTACAGTTTTGTACCACAGATGTACAAAACTGCTTTTTGCCACATCATTGTGCTTCCAGGCAAAACAAGCTATACCAACAGAATTTTAACGTTTGGTTATAACTACACTTACACTAGGGGCTTGTGTTAGTGCTGCTGTGCCAGGCAGATAGTATACCTCATCAAATCTTAACTGACATTGTGATGCTATCTGAAACACCGTAGTCTAGAGGTACTAGGCCTAGAGTTGATCTCATGAATGGATTTTATTTTCACACATGCAAAGAGAAAAGCTTTGGGAGATACTGTAAGGCAAGAGACTAGACCACCTGGATTAATGCTTCAGTAAATGAAGGTGGAAACTTGGCCTAGATGAAGAAAAAAATACCAAAAAAACCCCCCAAAAACAAAAACAAAAACAAACAAGCAAAAAAAAATGTGATATAGCTTTAGTTCCAAAAACTTGCCTTGGACTAAAAAACTGCCTTTTAGCCATACTGCATCACGTTACATAGCTTGCTTTCTTACAGATCTGCTACTGCATCCATGCTACTAAGATAAAAGTAATGTAGCTACCTTTAGAGGATAAAGGTGGGCGGTTTGGGTCAGACATTAGGAAGAATCTCTACATGGGAAGAGTAGTGACGCATTGGAACAGGCTGCCCAGGGAAGTGGTGGAGTCATTGTCCCTGGCAGTGTTCAAGAATCGTGGAGATGAGGCACTTAGGGACATGGGTTAGCAGGATTGTTGTTGAAGGGTTGGACTTGGTGACCTCGAAGGTCTTTTCCAACCACAGTGATTCTATGATTCTATAACATACTTATTAGTAATCGGATTGCGGTGTGCTGAGCACTGTAGAGAAAACACTATTAAAACAGCAACACAATGCCTTTCCACTTATTTTTGTTGAAATACTGTGGGAGACAACAGCTTGGACCAGAACGCCCCAATCAAAGACATAAAGCAAAAGGCAGTCTTTGTCTTTAAGAGACAAGGTAATGACATGGTCAAAGTGATGTGATTTGTCTGTGGTCCCACAATCTCAGTAGCAGCGAAAGAGAAAAACCCTCATTCTCTTGACTCCATTACCACTAGATGTTTTTGCATTTTTGCATCCCTACAACAACATTGTCACATTCTCTGAAGGCTCAGATAAGCAGCTTCTCTGAATGAGAAGCTTAATTCACAGAAAGAAGAGAAAATAAAGTGTATTTGTACAAAGAACATACTGGTCCAAAGGTGTTTACTTCTAACCATGCCAATCTGTATGAATACAACTCTGCCCATTTTATAAGTAATGATCTGAACAATGCTTAGAGATAAAACTTATGGTTTTCCTGGTCTCAATTCTCAGAGAATAGAATTATCAAGACCAAAAAATGTCATCAATAAGCTCACAGACAAGCATTTGAGTATCATTGATAAGCATATAGATCCTTCTATTCCACACTTCTGCTCAGTGTGTCAGTGGAGCTGCAAAGCAGTAAGGTAACTGGAGGAGAACAGACAGAACTAAAAACTTGTATGATAAAATATTTCAAGAAACCCTAAATCTTCAAAAAACATGGCATATTTAGAATTAAAACTTATAAATACCCTTAGATTTTATACTCCTATTAGATCTGCATTGCAGCTACTTCTTACAAACAGCCATCAAATCAATAAACAGAAGAGCCCAGTATTCTTTCGTACAGTCATATGCTTCATTTTACTAGGCACTTCAGGATACTGGTAGCCTGTAGCCCTAAGGCAAAAAAGTCTGTATGGAGAGTTGATTCTTTGCTGTCATATGAGCAGAGCTGTTTTTGGCTTGCCACTGGCAGTGAGAGCTATGAGCTATTTGACATAAGCAGCTTGACCCCAACAGAATGTATCTTTATTTAACATCTTTCATAAAAGGCATTATAAAATCACTTTTTTTTTAGGGTCATCCATTCTAAAAAGTAAAGAGAGATGGGAATATGCGAAAGTAAGACTTAGAGGTGATTGTAGAAGGTTTATAAAAGGGATGATAAGGGAAGATTTTCAGATACAGTTGATGACCTTCCAAGAACTAAAAGATGGACATAAACACAAGTGTAAAGGACTGGAGAGCATACACACAGCTGGGAAACACAGAGAAGGATGGCAGATCAGTCTATGGATACGCATGAAAATTAAAAACTTTCGTAAATAGTAGTAAAAATCAGTGACAAGGATTGGATCGCGCTGCCCTATTCTTTCAGGGGCTGTGTTCTGCTTCCCGATGAACCTGCAGGAAATCAACGTGAGAAGTGACCAACATACACCTTACAATGCAAGAAGGGGCAGAGAAAAGGTACCAGCCAAGCCCGATAGTGCTCTGTAGATGCTATAAGAAAAAAAAAAAACAAACTTGCAGAAAAAGGAAGTACAGGGATAAGAAGAAAGCCTGCAGGCTGAGCCAAGGCCAGAATTTCTGATCAGGAAATCAAATTAAGTTAAAGACTAGAAATGAAGTGAGTTTCCAAATAAGAATTTCACTCTATCAGTTAAGGGCTGATCTTCAGCCTATATGCAGACTTCTGATATTAAATGTTTGTGTATCTGAAATCTAATATTCCACTTGTAAGTCAGAAAGAACAAAAGCTCATGGATATCTCCATAGGAAACGAATAATAAATGACTCTATCTTGTAGTGCTCGCACATGTGTTCCCCATCAAACTTAAAACAAAATGGATTCCAGGAATCACCAAGTCTTTTAGGTTTTTCTGACAGGATGAGGTGCTTATTAATATAGTTCAATATAATAGTAGATGAAAGCTTTTGACAAATCTTTACAACCTTGTCTCACCCACTAAATTACTCTGATCTGAGTTCATCATGTCATTGTTTCGGCTTCACTTTATTTATTTCTGAATTACCATAAAACAGAAGCAAAATAGCATTGCCTTTCCTACCTCATAACTTGGGGAACTTCTATTGGAATCCATCACTGAATGAATTCCAAATGCTCCACAAGGGAAGAACTTTCCATGAGTACATAAAACTACAATGCCTCTAGTCAGGAAAGCCATTTGCACTACCAGATAGCACACATATAGGAAGAGGTTCCATCTTGACACAACACCACAGGCCATGTTATCCAATGGATGGTTTGATACAGAGATTCAAATTTCCAATTAAGGACTCTGACAAGGAGCAAGAGAGCTCAAAGCACACCACAGCACAGAATTACAGGCTGCCAAGGCCAGAACTGCAGCTTGGGGCTTTTTGCGCTACAGTGAAGGAGCACGGCAAAAAAAGCTGGGAACATTATTGACCTTGTTTCACTGCTAATGAGACGTGCAGAGATTCTCCAAGTGCAGGAATTTAAACAGTCCCTTATTGATTAATTCTTCCCAACAGTGAAAATAAAACTGTTTAGAACATACTGTACACTGTACTGAAACACACTGAGCTCACCCTCAATACAGTGACTCATTATTTTCATTTTCTTTAGCAATTAGTTTGAAGTAAGAGAGACTTGAAAAAAAAACAGACTCTCTTATGTAATCACCAGATCTATGACCTGATTCTTTTCTCAGTTGTAGCATTGTACCATTTTCACCCAGCTATACCAGCTCTCGCTCTATGCAGATTCAATTAAAGCTCAGAAATCTTAACGTCTCCATCTTGAATTGCATAATTCACTACAAACAACTGAACATCTGATTTGTGTACCTGTGAAAGAGTAGAGATGTACAAGCTGGCTACTAATTTAGATGGTGGTTATATTAATCAAGTTGACTTGCTTTGAGCTAGTTAGGGTAATCTTTAAACTACACTGCTAGTATGGCTGCTTATAACGATTTCTGTTGTATGACATATGTACACTGTTTCATGCCTTCTAACACTTTAAATGTTTTTAACAGATGAACAGTGGTTCCTGCAGTGTCAGTTACATGTTACAACAGAGAACTGCCCACCTTCTGCTGAAAGTTCCTGTCCCAGGAGCATAACTAAGAACCAGGAATCTGGATTTTCACTTAGCTATTCCAACAGGAGATCTTGCTTTTGATGACAGTTGAATCCAAGCTGCCAGAGGCGGAGAAACACCTAGCTGAGTCCAGCAGTGTTTTAAACCATTACAGGTTTACTTGAACGAATGTGAATCAGCACACTGAATTCGTAACTTCCAGATTGCATGCATTCAGAAAGATCTGCTTACACATATGATGTGTTTTTTGCAACTTACAGTAAACACCCAGGCTCTGACTTGGTTTGCTTTACTACTGTTGCAACTGAATAAAAAGGAAAATCACCTGCTAGTTCTTTGTAATACTGTTTCTCATCTCCTTGGTGATTTCCCCTTTTGAAGAGATACATATCCCCTCCTGCTTCCAACACTCCAGTGAGATACTGGGAGTAGCAGCATCCCTGTTTTATGGATGAGGAAGACAAGAAAGACGAAGCAGTGAAACAAATTATTCGAGGCTGGACAACGCTTACATAGAGGAGACAGGATTTGAATTCTGGATGTCCTGCTGGAAGATCCAAGCACTAGAACACACCATCATCCCTGTGGAGCAGGATACAGGAACAATGTGTGCTGGGAGCTATTTAGTGTTTGGAACACATCAACTTCTCCTATGGTTTTGTGTATAGGCAGAGTGCATTAATGCTTATATGATGTAATAATCAGTATTCTCTCCTAATGAGATACTTACTTTTGTAAGAATTCATCAGACCCACAAACACTTAGAAAACATTCCTCCCGGACTGGGTATTGATTTGTGCAGTGGAGGATCTCTGCAATTAAGTCATGAGTGATACAGCCAGCTGTAAAAAAAAGATAGCAAAAAAAAATTAATAGTAACTTGCTAGAGGATTTCAGGCTACATTCTTGAGCAAAGAAATAAGAATTTCTTTGTAAATGCTAACTACTGCTGCTGTCTAGCTCCATCAAGAGGAATTAGAATAAGCCACACCTGATTTTTTTCTTTGCTTCAGATGTGCTACAACTCATAGAATTTGTGTCTGCTTGGAGGAAACTGGCAGTTTGTGAAGTAGCTAGAAGGAAGAGCTGAGCAATTTTCTAAGGCAGAAGGAAGAAATAAGTAGATATAGTTTCCAAATAGGTAAATTCTAAGTTATTTTTGTGATTAATATCTCAACACATTTCCCATATGTGAACCTGATGAAGAATAGACTCTGTGGCATCCAAACTTGAATGAGTAACTGCAGAAGTCTTAGGGACAGTATTTAAAAGAATATTTTTTAAAAAATATCCTGACAATCTGTATACCTTTGTATTTTCAGATTTCAACCCATGAAACCAAGTATGTGTCAACCAAATAATCCCCTGACAACCAAAAATGAAATTGATCTGGCTTGCCTTTTTGCAACTGCTAAAACTGATGCCAACTGTGATGAAATAAAGTGTAGATCTATACCTTAGTAGAAGTTTTTAAAAGCTTGATATTTAATGTGATTTTAACTTCATAGCAAATTCCTTAAGCATGCATGACAAAAGAATGCACTCAAGGCTCACATAAAACTTACACTCCAAGTGTTTTTCCAGGTAATAAATGCATTTTGTTATCATCTCAGAAGTGAATTGTGGAAGGCTACGGAAATCTCAATCACTTACCATTTTGAGTGATAAGCAGTGGGTATGGTGAAGAATCTGTCCAAACACTGATTCTAAATTTCAATTTGTCAAGGATGTGGTCTGGGAACCTTGTTGCGACACTCCAGATTTTTCCAGTATTTGTCTCTAAATCATAAGCAGGATAGGCACTTCTTATTCTGCAGGGGACATGTGACAAAATTATGTCTAAATAGGGACATATTTCGGCTCTCTTGTAACAGGAACAAAACAGAAATATTGCAATAACAACAGCGCAAAGAAAGTTGCTAGGAATAATATATTTCATGCAAATAGACTGGACAATAGCAGCAACTTAAACTTTGTTTTGATGCTTTTCTAAAATCACATAACGTACATAGAGTTACTTATTTTACTTAATAGAGAAACTGTAAGTAAAATCTTCAAGAACTTCACAGGATCACTTCTCAAGCTTGACCTCAACAAAGACAAAAGGCACAAACTTCAGGGCACTGTGATCAGAATAATTTAAACATAGCAATTATGAGGGTGCTCAAACATATGCTTAAATAACAGAGTTGTACCACAAAGCCAAGAGCATGTGCACAGACAGCTGTGACTAGGACAGCTGTTCAAAATGAATAAAAGAATACGCTTGCTATGCAAAATTTTAAGTCTCTATTTTCACTCGGCACTAGGATCCAACTCGAAAATCTCATTACTAAGACACTAAGTATTTAAGCAAATGTCTTTAAATGACAATAACTGCCACAGTCACTGAGGCCCTCTGATCTTATATACCATTTCCCATAAGATATATTGCCCCTCTTCCTTCCAATTACCACAAACTTGCAGAAACTAATTCTCCCAGAGGTACCATTTCCTGATGGTCACAGGTATTAAAGGCTGTCAGCCGAGATTAAATTTGCTTTTTAAGCAAACACAATTCACAGCTGCAGGTAAGGGGGCACGTATTGTACCAACTGAGGTTTTACATTTCACTAATTGGCCTGAATATTTTGGTAGCTAAATTCAAATATCCTGTACTAAGCATATTGCAATTTTTTGTTTGTTTGTTAGTTCAAGCAGCATTTTGTAGCTTCTGAGCTGGCAGCCCTTTATAGGATCCCTGATTGCAGTATATTTCGTGCCACATTTCTCTCGCATAACGCTCCTCTTTACCATGTTACCTCCTGCCTCAGGGCTGCTAACCAACTCTCTAAGCAACAGTACAAACTCCTCTTCTGACATGTATTATTTCATGTATTTCTATAGTCCGAGAAGAAGGAAAAAAAAAAAAAAAGCCTGACTTCCAAAATTAATAAACCAATGAAGCAGCCCATTTCTTACAATATAAAGCCAGGGGGCATGATGTTTCAGTGAGGTAAGAGGAAATGAGGCTTGACAATGCCAGCAGTACATGAGATAGACTTATACTTATAGCAAAGAAATCATTATACTACAGTGGGTGTTTTGGTGTCCTACGTACTTGGTGTCAGCCTATTTTCTGGGTAAGCAAGGCACACACTATCACATATTTCTGCAGAAATGCCAAGAACTGAATAAGACTGAAAACTTCACTACCCTTTTTACAGCAGCAAATTAATGGGATGTGTGGACATGCAGGACATGAATCACCTCCTCAACTTGATAACAGTAATTTCAAAACTAAATGAACCACATCTCTATTCCCACTTCCACCCTTTCTGTATTCTAGGATAATTTTGGAACAAAACTTTCCCTCTTAAATCATTCAGATAAAAACACCTCTAGTTCCATAAAGTGTTACTTATTTATGGTCATGTACTATTTTCAAGGGACCAAAGGGCTTCTAGACTGAGATGCTTGGCAAAAATGTACACTTCTCATAATAAGAATTTTGGTAGTTAGCCCTCCCATAGCATGGCTGAAGTACTACAGAAGTATTATGTGAAGAAAAACCTGGGGTACTTGTCTCCTATGCTGCAGCAATTCAGCATATCCAGAAAGCACTAATTTTTCAGGACTTGCACTTGCTCTTTCACGATGCTGTGTATTCCTCTGTAGTGCACAGTGTATCCCTAAACCAAGAGACGCTGGAGGAATGCCACATTTTGCCGTATTGAATCCCAAGATCATCAATTCAGCATCTTCCTCTGGCATCATCTGACATCAAGACATATTCTAAAGCCACCTATTCTGCTATAGCTATGTCCATAGCTGTAGAAGAAACCTGATTAAGGGATTTTGGAGACTACATTAAAGTTGGGTATGTGTACAATGAAATGTTTCAATTATGGACTGCTACCTGTACAAATACTACCTGGAGAAAAACATGATGGGTTTCTATTTGAGCTACATGCTGGAGCTGCAAGTTTGCATGGCAGAGTTTGAATTATATATCTCGCCTCTGATGTACAAAGTTGCTAGTTATTGAGTTATTCTTTGGGAATTGGAAGGATGCTCATTCACTAAGACTGCCTGGGTTAGTTATTTGTAAATGAGTTCTTTTGGTCTTTTTGTTTACCACAATATTTTCTTCTAAGAATGTTTCCCCTTTTATAGAGGAAAAGCAAAGTTTGCTTTTATTTTTCTTTTAAAATAGTGTTTGCTGCTGAAGTGCACAAAACAAGTGACTGCAAATCAGGAATGGCTTAGTAAACTCATTTATTTGGGGCAAGAGTGGGGAAGAAATCGATACCTGTAATTGGAGTGTGAAGTTAAAGGTAGAATGATGGGACACAGAAATCTAAATATGTGAAAGGTAGGTATGGAATATGCTTTCATGTATGTGTCTGATGCTATATTTGGGGCTCTGTCTGATATACTGTGAAAAGAAAGAAAGTTGAGATATGGAATGGGTATGCTTGGAGGCTTACCACCTACCCCTGTATGAAGCTTAAAAACATATATATATAATATATATATATTCACTATTAATTTTAGGGCAACGTCCAACTGCATTTTCTTTTCTTTTGAAAGAAGCAACCTTGGTGACCTTGAGTACAGTCAATTCGTTAAAGTCTAATTAAATAAAAAAGGCAGTACTCCATTTCTCACATACTTTTTGGGGGAAAAACGCATGTACTTTTGCTAAGGACTTTATAGTGTGCTAAATGAATACATACAAAAGGGAATGAAGTTGCCCAGATAGTCTCAAACTCGGTATTTCCTATGGCTCTTGGATTTGAACACAATTTCTTTTTGTGAAGAGAATTAAGTAAAAAAGTTCAATTCCATTAAGCCACACTATTAACTCTAATGGTAAACAGTACTTAAAGGAAGTTTTTTCATGTGCTAAATCTGACTTTTTTATCATCACAGTACATAGTAATTCTGATCTGGCTTTTTTTTTCCTTCTCCAAATAGCACATAAGTTAATGTTGTCCAAGAAAGTGACACAAAACGGATCATTAGGTTTCGTTCACTAGACCCCATTAACACTTGTCCATAATAAAAGGGGACAGCTAAGGGAGAAAATATGTTCAGAATTAACATTCCTTTGTGGATTTTAATGTTTAGACCCAAATAAGGAGAGTTCCCATATTTAAAGAGATATTGGAATTACAACACTGTTACGAAATCCAGGGATAACCAATCCGGTTAATATAAACAAGGAAAATGTCACAGTTGGCCGAGTGAAATTTTTTCATTACTTACTTCCCCACTGCATTGCAAAAAGCAACTGTGTTTTCATTACTGCCTTGATTCGCTTCAACCAGCTGGATAGACCAACTTGCAGACTAAAAAGACCAAAAAGAGACCAGAAGAAACAGAGCTCAGTTAGTTAGATAACAGCAAGAGAACATGTATAACGTTAACCTTACATATGTTTCCATAAGAAATAACCATCATACCTTATCATCACTTCATGGACTTGAAGGAAAAATAAGCAAATAAGCACAAACAGTCCCATGGATTTTGATTGTACTCTTAATGCTTACAGAGATAAAACAGAATCACACAGCATTGTCTGCCAAGGGTGGTTTTTTTTTTTTTTTTTGCCTCCTTGTAAAACATAAGGAATTCCTCACAAAGCTTTCAAAATTCACCTAGTGTCAGACTGCAGATGATTCTAAATGCAAAAGATGTACACTTAGTTTACCAAAGGGAGAGGAGACAAAATGAAGTGCATGCCGCAGTGAGTTTTAATCCTTAACTCCTCCCTTTCTGCCCTTGCGAGAAGCTCAAGATTCCCTCAAACTCCCTAAGCCTTTCAGGTAAGCACAGAGGACAGACAACAGGAAGCCAGTGTATTCTGTCTGAAAGGGAAATACCCCTGGGTACTTTCTTTAAACTTTGAGAGAACAGGTTTCAGCTTTTATTTTGAGTCAAAGCACTACCATGACTATTTGCCACAGTACACTCCAGTGAAAACACGACCTCCAGGGAAGGCTGTAATATTACTGTATCTGCACGCGCATTGTACATATGGATATTGTGACTCAAGGCCCAACTGGAACACTAAACCTTAAACTCCTTCAGAAAGATGAACAATTAATGGCATGGAGCGGAAGAGGAAACTGAGATATGAGACAAGATGGATTTTTCCCATTTTAATAATAAAAATATGTTTTTTTTTTCTGGTCAAAGAAATGCAATATATCTGAAAAGAAGGAGGTTGGGAAATTATTATCAATGGGGAAAATAGAATCAGAAGGAATCATAGAATCATAGAACGCTTCAGGTTGGAATGGACCTCTAGAGATCATCTAGTCCAACCCCCCTGCACACGCAGGGTCACCTAGAGCACGTGGCACAGGACTGCGTCCAAGCAGGTTTGGAAGATCTCCAGAGAAGGAGACTCCACAACCTCTCCAGGCAGCCTGTTCCAGTGCTCTGTCACCCTCCCTGTCAAGAAATTTTTCCTTAAGTTCTGTGGAACTTCTGATGCTTCAGTTTCCAGCCATTTCCTCTAGTTCTGTCGGTGGCCACCAGGGAAAAGAGGCCAGCACCAGCCTCCTCACTGCCTCCCTTGAGGTACTTATAGACACTGATTAGATCCCCTCTCAGCCTTCTCTTCTCCAGGCTGAACAGGCCCAGCTCCCTCAGTCTTTCCTCGTAGGACAGATGTTCCAGGCCCCTGATCATCCTTGTGGCCCTGCGCTGGACTC